TTTTAACTCTAAGAGGATAAAACATGTTTTGTTGTTTGTTTTGGTGTTAGCCGCGACCCGGCTAATGGGTCCAGCGCCGGCCTCGTGTCCTCGGTAGCTATCTGAGCTCCCTACTTTATCTTTTATGCTAACTATGAGTAATAACACACGAGGATTAGTTTGTTGGGCTTGTTTTATTCATTTAATCGACCACCATGGAGACTGTGTTTCGAGATTGTGTTGTAAATTTTCGATTTGTTTAATGTTTTTATACGTGGTAGAGTCAAGCTGCAACTATATTAGTAGTATAGTTGTAGCAGGAATGGGTCGGCTCGACCAGGGAAGGACCACGCTCTCACAGAATACCAGCGTAAAACGGCAGCTTGGCACTGCTGTGTTTCGTATGGTGAATGTAGAGAACCGGAGACCCTTTTTACAGAAAAAGAGGCATTCCATCTTAATCCTCACGGGTGACAACGCATCTGCATTTTGATTCGCAAACGAGGATGAATGTAGATGTCTATGGGCCACAGCAACCACTTACCATCAGGTGGACTGTATGCTCGTTTGTCACCCTATTATATAAAAAAAATTGTTGTTTGCAGGTATTCATTGGCTGCAATGGTCACTTACTTACAGGTGGACCGTTAGTCCATTTGTCATTTTTATAAAATAAAAAATTGATAGAAAACACATTTCAATCTGAAATATGACGGCTACATGGTGCATTGCCTTAGCAAAGAGTTACGGTGCTAAGTAAGGGCCGCAGGCTTGAATCCCGCTCGGAACAAGTATTTGTATAGCTTACAAGTAATTATTCCGGGTTTGGATGTTTGTCGTTGTGCAATTATTATTTTGTATGATAACTGTCTCCGCGATACAGGAGAAAATCCTAGTGTGGGGTAACGTTTATAAAAATAAAAGAAAAAGAAATAAAATACTGAACCTGAAAAAAATTGTTTACTTGTAACAAGGAATGTTTTCCATACTTCTATGATATTCTAATGTACAAAAAAATAATTTTGTTTGTTCGTATTTTATGCGCTGCTGTGGCGGTGGAAGGAAAAGGAGAGATCTCCCGCCGGGCAAGGTGTTCTGCCCGCGCGGCCAACGCTCCGAGTGGTAGTTCGGAGCTATTCACACTGCCGTACAGTTCATCAGATTGCGCTAAAACTTTGTCAACTTATTGCTTGCACTTGTGCGTAGGTTATAGGCATAGTACAATTAACTTACAATAGGTGGCGCGCGTATCGCACCAACAAATTCATTTGAAAGTTATACATCACTCAACTTCAATGAATGTATTATCATTCCTAATTAAACAATATTATTCTTCCAAATTTAAAACAATATTTCGACAATTATTTTTTCTGTGACAGCGGGGGCCTGCGCCGGGCCAGCCAGTTAGTTCATTATATTATACAAATAGGTGAATTATATTCATCATGTGATTAATATTAAGTAAAAATTGGATGACACAATACAAAATCTAGAATAACAAAAAGATCTATTAGAATAGAATAGAATAGAATGATTTTTATTCAATATGGATTATTACATAATACTTATTGAAAGTCATTATTTTATTTACCACTGGTTCGGAAAATACCTCTGTCCTGGGAAGAACCAGCAAGAAACCCAGCGGGACTTTTTTTTTAAACATAATTTCACTTAACATTAATTTTGTTTATACAATTTTAAATGAATTTTCATAGAACCAGCATGGTGGCGATCACCTTATTCCCAGGGGTTATTTTCATTCATGTATTCCTTGATATTATAATAACCCTTTTTGTACAGTTTTTCTTTAATAAAACTTTTAAACTTGTTTATTGACAAACTTTGAACATGTTCTGGGATTCTGTTGTACATTGCCCCATAAATGAATTACTAATTCTGTGGAGTCTTGTAAGTGGCATTACAAGCTTATGTTTGTTCCTAGTGTTTAAGGTATGAACATCCTTATTCTTATTAAAGCTATTTATGTTTTTATGTACATACATTACATTTTCATAAATATATTGCGATGCCAAAGTTAATATATTTATTTCTTTAAATTTTTCTCTAAGGGACTCTTTACAATTTAGATTATAAATCGCCCATACGGCTCTCTTTTGCAAAACAAATATAGCTTCAATATCAGTCGCATTACCCCATATTATAGACCTCGCATATAGGCAAAAATTTGGATTTTGAAATAAAAAGAGAAATGACCGTTATAGGTACAGCTCGCAATAATTCACGTGAGAAAAGCAACTGAATGAGTTCGTTAAGAGGCTCGAGTGCTCTCAACTTGCATTGTGCTGACGTCAGATCTTCCAATCTTCCATGACAGACTTCGAGTGGCCACCGAAGCGCCAAAATGTTAATGAGACATCTTTCTAACTGGATAGCCATTGATCAGGTGTTTGACACGTTACATGCATACATTAATCAGCCAACTAAGCAATTTATGATCGCTAATGTGAACGCTTGAAAATTGCTTCAAATATATATATATAATTTTATTTATTTTTAAATTGGATTGTAATGGATATGTAATCATAAATTAATAAAGTGTAAGTAATTTAAAACGGAAAAACAGTTACGTATTCATATTCAAATATATAAAAAAAAATTAGCATTGAACTCATACTGTGCATTTAGATGTAGGCGCTAAGCTAAAATTCATCATTTTGTTAAGATCTTTGACTATAAAGCATTCCATTGTATGCTATTCGTACTGGACCCGCTTAGAGAGCTGTCCGACGCCTGTTGAACTTCCGACCTCGCAATCTCACGCACCTATTTAGAAACGCCATATGCATACATAATTGTATATTATATCGTACCGCGTACTATTATTGTTATTATTTTCTTTTTAATATGTTTTCTTTTGCACATAGTTAAAATAGGTATATATTTAAACAAATTTAGGTAATAAAACTAGCTATAAGTAAAATCATGATAGAAAATAAACTAGGAGTATACGTAGCTCAAATGAACGGATAGGTTCAATTTAAAACGATAAAAAATAAATTAAAATAACCATCGGACGAAGCCCAGATGATATCAATACCAGCTACACGTCCATTATGCTCTCGGACGTAGTAGTCTCTAATTGCGGTTTCTTTGTTATTCAAAATGAGGTGTTAGCTTTCCTATTAAATAATAAGTAGTTTGATTCTTCTTCAGGATCGATACAACCAACATCAGATAAGAAAGTGGTTATCATTACGTAATGATTCTTAAATGTGAATATACACCAATATGTATTCATGTAAACTGTAGGTACAAATTAACAAGACGTTAAACATAAAATACATTGATTACCATCACAGATTGTTATATACAGGGGTATTTTGCAATTACCAAGACAAATTTGTAGAGAAGGTACAGAATAAGTAATATAGGTAAATTATAAAGAAAAATTAATTAAAAAAAATCTCAAACATTCTGCCCTTTTTATATCTTTTTAATTCAAAATCCGTGGTAATGCACTACTATAACTGATTTTACCACGCACATTCGTAAGGTTCGATCGGTAGGATTAAAATGTTCTTGTCCATAAATCACAATTAATTTGGAATAATTTCAAATAAATGTAAAAGCCCTATTTACTCGTATTTTTAAAAACTACAATAACGGTTTATCGTTGTTTATATATTTGAACTTAAGTTTAAAATTTAGCTACTCTTTGAAAAATAACCCTGTATATATAGATATTATACTTTGCTCTAGAATCTACAATCTAGATCTAGAAAAGGCCTATGATAGAGTGGTGAGGAATGAATTGTGGTCAGCACTGTCCGTGAACGGTGTGAGCAGTATCCTCATACGAGCAATGCAATCTCTTTATAGGGATTCTAGTGCTTGTGTAAGGATAAACGGGGCATACACTAAATGGTTTAAAATCGAAAAAGGTGTTAGACAGGGATGTGTAGCGTCACCGTGGCTGTTTAATCTGTTCGTGGACAATTGTTTGACAGATTTAAAAGAGAATGAAAGTGGGTTGAGAATGAATGAGTTACTGGTCAAATATTTTCTCTATGCTGATGACCAAGTATTACTTGCGTCTTCGGCCGAGGAGTTGCAGGAAATGGTAACTGCTATGAGTGGAGCTTTTGTTAGAAAGGGAATGAAGATGAATGTAAGGAAGACGAAAGTGATGGTGTTTAAAAAAGATGAGGCAGTGACAGACTGCAATATTGTGATTGAATATGAACAAATTAAACAGGTGAAAGAGTTTGTGTATCTAGGTTCAAAGTTTACAAGAGATGGAAAGTGTGAGAGTGATATCGAAAGAAGAGTGAATGCAGGATACATGGTTAATGGAGCTTTGCACTCCTTTATGAGCAGTCGGAAGGTGTCTAACAAGGCTCGTTTGGCTGTGAATGAGGGGGTGTTGGTTCCGACACTCATGTACGGAAGTGAAACTTGGGTATGGCAGAAGAAACATGAAAGCAGAATAAATGCAGTTGAGATGAGAGCATTAAGAAGTATGATAGGAGTTAAACTGAGTGACAGGATAAGAAATAGTGAGATAAGGAAACGTTGTGGTCTGAAAGAAGATGTAGTGACAAAAATTGAGAAAGGTATGCTGAGATGGTTTGGCCATGTCGAGAGAATGAATGAAGAACGATTGACGAAAAAAGTGTATAAGGTGAGTGTGAATGAAAGTGTTGGAAGGGGTAGACCTAGGCGGACATTTCTAGACCAAATCAGGGACGTTTTGAAAAAAGGCCAGGTCAAGAGTACCCTAAACCGTAGAGCATGTATGAAGGGAATAATGAAAGTGGATGAAGCAAAACAAGTATGTAAGGATCGTAGCAAGTGGAAAGAACTGGTCTCTGCCTACCCCTGCGGGAAAGAGGCGTGATTATATTTATGTATGTATGTATGTTATACTTTGCAAACAAAGGATATGTTATTGACAAATTCCTCTTTAAAACTTCCGATTTAACAGTTTTATAATTTTTCTGGTTTTTTTTCACGTAATATAATTTCATTTTTATTGTTACAGATAAAACAGAATATTGCGTATGGCCGAAAGAAACACCAAGAGTCCAACTATAGAATCACCGCGCGCTTTTTGGACACTAAAAAATGTGTGGAAGAAAAGCTTCGATTTTAACAGAAAGACCTTGCTTCATACTGAATTGACTGACACAACTCAGTTCTATATTTTGAATAATCAAAATGTACCCCAAGAAAGTACAACAGATTTTAGTGGCATTTCAAATTCAGAAACAAAGATCATTGATGAGGATCGTCTTATAGCATACGAAGAGAAAGCAATAAATACGGTAGACGATGCTTTGGATAACGATGAAAGTCAGGGAGTCAGAAAGAATGTGTGGAGCGACGTTGATGACGAATTATACATAGCCAATTTGATAAAAGTAAGAACTTCTTATGAAGAGAAACGTTTAAAACGTGATACTAGTGCTCACATAAGTGTTAGTGATATCAGTGAAAAGGTTGTGAATAGTGATAAGTTAGATAAGTACGATATGTGGGAGTTAGAGCCAACGGACTTGACGGAGTGTGACTGTCTCGGTCCACCTCCGGAGTTTTTGCTCCCGCCGCCACCACGTCCACCGTTCCTGCAAACAGATTACTACTGCAGCGATGATCCTATACCTGATCTTGAGACTTGCGACACGGAACCAGTACGTATATAATATTATACTTTTTATCTATTTTGCTTATTTAATGAGCTATAATATATAGTATATATACTGTCGTCGAATTTTAATTTTAATTCTAGTCCAAGCTAACTTCATTAATATGCTATGAATAACTTTAAAAATTATTTTGTGCATTTAAAACATCCTCCATCTTAATAGTAACGAATAAGGAAAAAAATTTGAATAATTGAAGATTATTGGGCCATCGCATCTAATTATACATATCTATGTTTCTTTTAGAGAGACATTTGTATAGATATTTAAGTAATTTTTAAAAAACTTGGTATATCCAAGTGTTTAATTGCAGTGATAGCATAAAGCGATAAGTTATTTCAACGTTAAAGTAGATAACATACTTTGTAAGGAATGCGGGGTGCCTTAATCTTTTTTTTAAATAGTCAGGTAAGCGGAACGGGCGATTTGAAACACAAACATTTCTTTTGTTTTCGAAAACATTTAAAAGCCCCCCGCAACCTGATGAATCAACCGAAACCATCCTTATCTATGGAAACGCTTCACGTTTTGTTCTAAAAATGGTAATGAATAAACAACTACGCCTGTGTCCTTATCTCACTGGATAAATATTTGATATATGCGGGTCTTAATGAAGCCATGGCAGCGACAATGCGCATTTATCTTTCCATCTCTAACTTTTTTACGAGTTTATAAAGAGTCTATTCCCCTGTTATTTGTTTGTACTTAACCGTTTCCATGAAATGATGTAACTGCCAGAGTAACGGTCCACAGCCTGGTTTTAGTGTGTACGTGTAATACTAACATTTATAGTAGCTATCTCGCTTTTTTGTATACACAAATGTTGCCTAACTGCCATAGAGTGCTGGAATTTTGAAATGTTCATGATATTTTGTGTATTCTTTGCTTGATCAAGATTATTTTAACAAATATTTAATTAAATATTACTAATCACAGAGTATATTTAGCAAGAACTTACAGAAAAAATATCGTGTTCTTTTTCGTTTGTCGTTTAGATATTTAAAGAATTGACGAATTTTAAAATTAACATTGATAAATCTACTAATAACTGTGACGTGTTATGTTTGTATTCTTAGTAAAAAACACATTTTTCTTATTTAATATGCTTGTTTCTTGATTGGTGTAAATTTTTATCCTTATGTTATTTATAAAAAAATATCAGTAGAGGAAAACATCATTCACATTCCAATTACTTCGACTAAAACCTTTAAAATTCTTAAGAAAATATCTGCTATTACAAATTCTGCGGTTACGGGCTTGATTAAGACATTTTAGAACGACACTAACAAGATAATAAACGAATTGAAGAACACCCCAGTGTTAACAAGAAAAACGTTCACAGTAGGTGTTCCAAGGTGAATCGCTGTGATTCGTCATACTTCTACGAATAATTGCGTGAGTCTTGAGAGGTTTTTGTATTTGTACCTGTATATTTATAATAATCTTGAGTTTTCTATCATAATGATTCATAAGAAAAGTATTTTCAATGTCTTCTTATTAGCATTATGAATACTTTGCCGGGTAATCACTAATTGGTTTAACGTTTGAAGATGAAGCCGCATAGGTGGATTTTGATGCGGCTTTCACCATAATTTAAAAATATTAGTTCAGTGAATCGCTATTTTTGATTTGGTGATAACTAGAGCACTACATCTACGCTTCGCGTTCGATGTATGCAAAAATCTCTTTAGAAACAATTTTGTATATAATCCATGCATATTTTACGTAAAGAAATTTCGATGTTTTGAGATTTGTGCGACTCAAAAATTAACTGGTGAATTGTACCGTGCTAAGTCGGAGCAAGCTGCTAGTATTAATTCATTTCATTACTACTTAATTCAAAATACAGTCCATGGGATGAAATTATAATTAATTTGAAAATATGTAATATATTCTTCAGTTGTATATAAAGAAAAATGTTGCAGTTTGTTTGCCAAGTAACAATCTCAAGGCTATTACCGAATAGAGAGGTCAAATTTGAAGGTTTTTTTTTTACAGGATAGGGTGACAAACGAGCACACAGTCTACCCGATGGTAAGTGGTTGCTGTGGCCCATAGACATCTACATCCTCGTTTGCGTATCAAAATGCAGATGCGTTGTCACCCGTGAGGACTAAGATGGAATGCCTCTTTTCCAGTAAAAAGGGTCTCCGGTTCTCTGCACTCACCATACGAAACACAGCAGTGTTAAGCTGCTATTTTACGCTGGTATTATGTGAGAGCGTGGTCCTTCCCCAGTCGAGCCGACCCATTCGTGCTACAACTATATTAGATATTAATATAGCTGCAGCATGTTTCTACCACGTTAAAATGGTTTTCTCGAAGTGCCAAACTTACGCGGTATACTCTGCTTACCTACTTAGGTTCTGGCTCCGGGATGATCAATCAAAATAAGTCATATGGTCGTAGCATAGAAAACTCCTCTTCCCATTTCGTCCTGTGACTGTCGTGGGAATTCCAGAAAAATCTCATTTCTTCCAATAGGTGTCGGCATATATTTGCGGGTTTGCATTCTATACGATAGACAAATCACCACAATAACTAATATTTAAGAAATAACAATTTTTTTACTTTACTTTTTCACCATTAACCAGTTTAGTAATCTTCAACACCTATTTTGATTCTTGACGATATTTATTTTAATTAAAGCAATCGTCGATGCATTTTTACTTCAAAACAAGTTAAGCTTTTGTTATATATCTAAATTATTTTATGAATTTAAAAATGTTTCTCTCGAGCACACTTAAAACGGTCGACTACTCGCTTTAAAGTATCCAGATAACAGTAATTATTATTACTTTTTGGAACAACCCTACGAAAGACACTGAAGCTTGGATCTATGTAATATGTTGCTTCACATAATTGTTTAAGATGATAGTGCAAGACTGAGTAATCTAAATGTGCATAAATTTCTTGGGTTACATTCTTCAGCTCTTTTTGTTTGTCATTTGTCGTTTGTCGTAAAAAACTTTCATAGAAAGTAAAGGAAAAGCAAAGTTACAGCCTGTTACATACACATGGCTTACTGCTGGCCACAGGTCTATTCATCCCTGAGGGGTTTTAGGTTTTATATATCATAATTTTTTTTTAATCCGCAGACTCGCAGGCTCCCTCACAATATATTTCTAACTGAGGCCGTGGTAGGTCAGTAAGTTAATTGCAATTAATATCTGCCTTTGTATTGGCGGGAACGAATTCTGTTTGCTTACGTGCTTTAAATGTTGTAGGCGGACACTGATTTTCTGAGCTACCTCGGCTTAACCTATCTAAAATAGACAATTTCATATATATATATATTTATAAGATAAGGGTGACAAAAGAGCTCACAGTCCACCTGATGGTAAGTGGTTGCTGTGGCCTATAGATATCTACATCTATCTTCGATTACGAATCAAAATGCAGATGCGTTGTCACCCGTGAGGACTAACATGGAATGCCTCGTTTCCAGTAAAAAAGGTCTTCGGTTCTCTACACGCACCATACGAAACACAGCAGCGTTAAGCTGCTATTTTACGCTGGTATTATGTGAGAGCGTGGTCCTTCCACGGTTGAGCCGACCCATTCGTGCTACAACCATAATATAGCTGCAGCATAGCTCTACCACGTATAAAGAACAAATATATTAAAAAATATTATAAGCATTGATAATAATTAAAAAATCCAACATCACTTCACTGCAATTGCACCTTAATAATTAAGACTGAGAGTTTAAAATTCAGCAAATCTTAAGAGTTTAGACTAAATTTCGTCAGATGCAGTGGATCGGTCACGTTTAAACTTTGAATGCTTATACTAAACTTTGTTACCGAACTCGTTATCTGATGTTCGGAATTGATTTTCCTTTCATTTTCTAACTTTTTGACCAAAACAGCATTCTCTTTGGTAGGTAATTGAAATTTTTATTACGCTTAAACATTATTTTGTCAGTTTTAATCCAGAATACTTTACTTTAATGTAAAATAAATAACTTTTCGGGTTCGCAGGAAACTTTTTAAGGGGTAATAACGATAATCATAATTTAACAAAGAAGTTCATGGCGGCCCAAATTAATTAAGGTCTTATACAATTCTCCTTCGTGGACTTTTTATTAATTAAGGAGGGGTCATTGACAAATAGACTACCGCCTTAAGATGGACAGTTTGATAAACTTCGGCTACGGACCGTTTTGGATATTGTCGTTTAAAAGGTTTCTTTTTTATTGTATTCAGATTCACGTGCGATATAGGCCGATAAATCGTCTCCGGTCATATGACGGATTTCCCTCCAGATAATGCCGTCTTTTGACAAATTGATGTCCCTCACCAGACTTTACTTTCTTTGGAGTAGTACGTATAAATCTTTATTTCTATTGAAAAAAAAACCTTTCGTGTCACGGATTTTAACGCTTTTAATTATAACTTTAAAAACAGTTTGCCGTGTAGTGGTGGGTGAAATAATAAATTATATCACTTTTCTTAAATTGCTCGAAGAGGGTAGGGTCAAAAGTACTCGGATACTTAGACGTGCATGCATGAAGAAGATAATGAATGTGAAAGAAGCGAAAGAGGTTTGTAAGGATCGTGACACTTGGCGATCTGTTCTCTCTGGCTACCCCGTCAGGGATTGTGCGTGAAGATAAGTATATCACTTTTCTTGAGGGTGTTAAGAGGATAATAACTATAAGGCGTTTTTACGGTGGTCGTAAGCACGGTTGCTGATCATGTGGTCCCAAGTACGAATCCCGGGTCGGGCTAAAAACAAAGATAGACCTGAGCAAACCGAAATTCGGTCTGAAGGACGTGGTAGAGCCATGCTGAAGCAATATTAGTAGTATAGTTGTAGCACGAATGGGTCAGCTCGACCGGGGAAGGACCACGCTCTCACAGAATACCAGCGTAAAATAGCAGTTTAATGCTGCTGTATTTCGTATGGTGAGTGTAGAGAAACGGAGACCCTCTTTCCTGGAAAAGAGGCATTCCATCTTAGTCCTCAAGGGTGAAAACGCATCT